TCGGCAAAAGACAAATGCAGTCTGGAACAGACTTCTTCCATATGTTTGCACCAGGTTAATCTTGGCCGTCGCCTGGGCCTTCTGCTAGTCGGGTTCCCAAGAAACAGCTGCTTAGCCTTCCTTTCTGTAGGTATTCGCAACACATGCCCAAACCATCGCAGCTGTGACTTCTCAATCTGGAGAAGCAGAGGTTGTATTCCAAGGCTCTTCCGGATGTCACTATTCCGGACCATGTCGAGACGCGCTTTTCCTTTTCGTTCTTTCTTTCTCCTATTAAGGGACATGCCAATTATTCCTCTCATTTTTTTCGTTATTGATTCAAGGGACTGGCTGAATAAGGAAAATTAACATTCTGCAAACTGGTTATCTTGCACCATGAAACAAAAAATGACCAGGAATAACTGTTGTTTTTTAAATATTTTCTTTAAAACAACACGAGGGGAAAAGCCTTTTTTATAACCAACTCGAATAATCTACTGTAATGAGCCGTTGAATAAAGAACACTGAAAAACTCTTTCCACCTAACTTTTCGACCAGTGAAATCATCATTTTACAATGCTGATGTCCATTTAATATTTTTTGATTTAAGAATGGTACGACCAAGTACCAGCTTTATTTCAGATTCAGAAAAACTAAAAATTTAAAATGTGCTCTCTACAGCGGAAACACCAAGCTGTTATGTCTTATGGTCAAGGCAACCTTATATGTTACAAACTATATCTATTGATCAGAAACCGAACAACGAACAACCTGCGTACAATTTACTCATGACGTCAGTACAGAAAAGCACTAAGCTTTCGGCGTCGTCACTGACGACAAGTCCAGATTCAGCAGGTAGTATCAGACAAAATACGAGCACTTACTTGAAAACAATGACAGAAGCCGCGGGACAGCGCCTCTGAAAACGCCTTCATGGCACAATGGTCGTTTTCTTCGTGATGTGTCACGCGTCACGAGAGGAAGAGGGACTTTTGTCAAACGCTGTCTGTAGGTTCGTCATAGTAACAGAGTTCGCCTGGTGTGAACGTGACCAGACTCATCGACACAATGAAGACACAAATAACGAGGGGAAACGAAGAAAACCAGTTACGACGAAGAGAAAACTACATACAACAAGACAAACATTTCACTTGTCCAAAAATCAATTGATCGATCGATAAACGGGTCATACTTGGTCATAGGCGTCACAATAAAACCAGCAAATAAAACTGACGATCCAGCGCTGTGTTTTTCATTTATAAGTTTATTAATTTTTATCTCATCAAACTTATTACTCACTGTCTTGTCGCCGCCGCTTGACTCCAAACCGTTTTTTCGCAAGTGCTGCTGCTCCACCTTAGCACGTTTGCAAGGAGGTGGGAGATTCAGCTGCAAGTGATGGTGGTCAGACACGGTGGAATCGGTTGCTAGATCTGGAATCGTGCTACCGTGGATTGACATGGAGCTGCAAATAAATAAAGTCGTGAATCACGTTAAAACTTTACATGCAAACTATAACTAATTAACAAAGTACTGCAAGAAATTAATTGAGACAAACCTCGAACACGTCGTTCACTTACTTTTCATCACTTTACAAAACAGAAACTACGAATAAGGCGAATTGGCAGCAGTCTTCACCCACGAACATACGCAACACAACG